TATCGTGCATCTAATTCCCTCTACCGCCAGTTTCCTGTCACCTGTTCTGTAGAGGACAAACAAGAATAATAAAAGAATGCAACATGGCAATGAGAATCACAAGCCAATCCTTTCTCTTTCTGCTCTAGGGTTGCACTGAATACCGACTCTAGGCCAAAACTGATGTCGACCAACGGGACAATGATGTGGGAGAATGACGCAGTTTCTTATGCCTTAGCAAGCAGGACTGTTTTGCGAAGATACTCTCTTTCCAGAGGGAGCGTGCTACAGCTATATTACAGTCACGCCAACGAGTAAGGCTGTGGTTAAGACTAATCGACCCTTTTAGGCCAATGAAATGCCACTCTCAGTTAACCGAATTACTTTCATCGGCGTTGCCATTTCAGATATATGTAATCCTCTATCGAAAAACTCTTTGAGAATTCTTTAGCCACTCCTATCCACTGCCCTTCGCCTAGACGGTCGACTAGTCGTGTCTAGATGTTTGAATATTTCGTTTAATATATTAGTGGTCATATTGAGAAACAGCATAATACACTATTTGTTCATACACAACGCAAAAAATTTACTTAATCAGATGATTGGCCAGTAATGACTGGACAGCCTTCTGACTTCATCTGTACCGGCCACTGCGAACCAAAGAAAAACTTCCAAACTCAGTCAATCAACCCTTGGTTTGAAGAAGGCCTAAGCTTTGGTACAGAACAGTCATCCGATCGAACGTTTTTTGAGTTGTGTATAAATAAACCGCGCTTTATGTAGTTTTTTCTAAAGATTTATTTATTTCATTCTGTCTCACAGCCTTTGGGCTTCTTAGTCGATGATCTGTGTGATCCATTCAAACGTCTTCTTCAGGCTGGCCCCCACTTTTCTATCGCTTCAGTTTTTCTGCTCCTTCGCTCGTGCTCTTTCTCCCTTGCTCTTTTTCATATCGATTTTCCATCTTTAACATGTGGTGCATCATATTTGGTAGTACAGTGTGTATGGTTTGTATGTTTTTTGTTTTGAATCCGAGTTTCGCGTTCTCAACTGAAGATTAGTTCTTAGATTGTTGGAACACCAGATTCTCGTCTGGGAACCCAGCCAAGCCAGAAGTTCGCCGTTCAGAAAGCCAACACGAAGGTGAAAAGACATTCTTCAATCGAGCTTGCAGTCACTTGAAATGTTTAATTCACGGAAGCAGTGAGAATCACTCAAAACATGCCAAACCACTTTCTACCCCCACTCCCCCTCGCACCCGTAAGTTTCAGCACTGCAACTTTTGAAGTATACCCTAAAAGGCGAGGGTATGTGTGATTGTAACTTTTTTCCCAGTGTTTGTGTTAAGTGACTACCAATAGAGTTTTTTTTAAATTGATTTAGTGAGAGTGACTACCAAATGAGTTTTTTTTAAATGAAGTTACAGATGAGTAAAAGTAAAACGGTTTAGGGATATTTGAGGTCATATACGACACGAGTAAGAGCCAACCAAGTTATTTCCACTTCGTTGCTGCTTTCGTCTTAGAATCTACGTGACATGGAATTTATCCTCAAGGAGGCATTTGAAACATGCTGATTACCCTTTTGTACAAGGAATGATAACTCGTGGGCGAACAACTGAAAGTTGAGCAGTACTTCATTGTCGGCGCCAAGAAAGGGAGCAAACTCGTACCAATTAGTGGCATTTTGACGGCTAAAGTCCGAGATATCCGACTTAATAGCATTCTTCCAAATGGAAAACGACATTGCTCACTGCTAATGTAAATATTTATTTATAATCATCAGTTCCCCGCATTTAGTTTTAATTTGACAATCAGTGGTTAACTGCTGAGGCCCTTTGATCTTTTCATCAATAAGTCAGTTACTGTGGCTTGAGACGTAAATGATTGTACTCATTACATGGATTACAGAGGTCACTTGAACAACGGGACATAAAAACGGCGATAGAAAAATGTGCAACAGCGGCTTGAAAAGTTTCTTGTCAGGGGCATTTAATTTTCAAATGATCCCACCTGGGGTTTCGTCCAGATTTTATAAAAATATTACCGTATCGGCGTGACTGTGTTATGCTTGCCATGGCTGTAGCACTATCATTTACTATTTAATTGACTATTTTACGGATTATCCCGCAAGAAAATGCTGAATGATACATTAAACTCTAAACATCATTTTTCTATCCAAAGTCATGGATCGAGAATGGTCGAATTTACCTGAAGATGCTGCGATCGTTAGTAA